GGGGATGCTCCGAGGTGTGCAGGGTATGGCATCCTTGAGGAGCCTCCTGGGATCCCTTCCAGCCTCTGCTCCATCCCTGAGGAGCCTCCTGGGATCCCTTCCAGCCTCTGCTCCATCCCTGAGGAGCCTCTGGGATCCCTTCCAGCCTCTGCTCCATCCCTGAGGAGCCTGTGGGATCCCTCCAAGCCTCTGCTCCATCCCTGAGGAGCCTCTGGGATCCCTTCCAGCCTCTGCTCCATCCCTGAGGAGCCCGTGGGATCCCTTCCAGCCTCTGCTCCATCCCTGAGGAGCCTCTGGGATCCCTTCCAGCCTCTCTTCCGAGCAGGTGCAATGACCTCGCTGCAAACTTCGGCTCCTCTGCAGCCTGGAGGAGTGCGAAGGTCACCCTGGAGCTTTGGGATCCAGGTGGGATCCAGGTGGGATCCAGGTGGGAGCCAGGTGGGATCCAGGACCAGGGGAACCCTCAGCCTGATACCCCTTCAAAAGCTGGGAATGTTCATCCCCGAGACATCCCCGAAAAACATCCCCGAGCTGATGGGCAGTGAGGGGAAACTGAATTTTTAGTGAGGATCTCCATGGAGGAGGAGGGTTTGCTCCTCTGGAGGGTTTTTAGGGTGAAGGGAGTGGTGAAGAGGCTCAATGTGATGCCACAAGCAGGGACAGAGGGGCTGCTAAAGGCCCCCTGCGGGCAGCAAAAGGAGGCACAGAGAAGTTGTGGGTTCTTCATCCCTGGAATTGTCCAAGGCCAGGTTGGATGGAGCAACCTGGGACAGTGGGAGCCATGGGATGGGTGGCACTGGATCATCTTCAAGTCCCTTTCCAATCCACACCATTCCACAGTCCCACAAAGGGCTCAGGGGGCTCTTTTTCGCTCTTCCTAAACACCAAGAAATGCAGAGTCTTAGTGACAGCCAGGGATTGATGGATATCCAGGGATTGATGGACAGCCAGGGATTGATGGACAGCCAGGGATTGATGGACAGCCAGCGATTGATGGATGTCCAAGAGCACAGCCAAGAGCTGCCAGATCGGCTGATGAGCCCTGGGGAAATCTGTGCATCCTGCACCTCCCTGTTCCACAGATCCCACTGGAATTCCCTTTATTCCTTGCGTGCAAAACGGGGCAGGTTGGAGCTGGACCCTCTCCCAATCTGGAGTCCCTGGATTGCTCAATGTCTTCAGCTTTTCCCCAAGAAAAGGCTGGAAAAAGCTAAAAATGGAGTCTCCAAAGGGACAGGGATGAGGAAAGCAAAAAGGACATCAAACATGTCTGGGTCTGGTTTGGGTTTTGTCTGGCTTGGCTCTTTAACCCATCAGCATTTGACTGAGGAGTTTGAACACAGCATCATGGAGTCACTAAGTTTGGAAGAAAGTCCCAGACTTTTAGGAAAAGCTTGGCAAAAACCTCCAAGATCATGAAATCCAACCCTGGAGCGAACACCCCCAGCGTTCCCACCGAGCCATTTCTCCAAGTGCCACCAATATCCTCCATTTTTTGAGCTCTTCCAGGGATGGCGACTCCAGCACTTCCCTGGGGTGGCGGTAATTACATCTGCCTAATTAAAAAAGCTCCCAATTGCTTTTTAGCTGCAGAGTGGACAGCAAGGAGAGCGTCCCGAGAGGAGCTGGGATCCCAGAGGATCCCCTTTGGAGCGGGATAGGAGGCCCAGGGAAGCAGCACAGAAGGTCAGGGGTTAAACGGCAGCACTGGGAAGTTTTTTGCAAGTGAAAAGTGGGGTTTGCAAACCTGGGAATAATCCTGAGGCTTTCCAAAGCTTCCCAAGGTGTCCCCCAGCCCAGGGAAAGCAGTCCCAGGGCAGAGGGAGCAAATCCATGAATTCATTATCCCCCGGACAATGCGCTCGCTCCCGAGCTTGATTTTCCAAATGAGACTTTTAAAAAACCCCAAATCTGACACAAACCTGAAAACCCCTGGGTTTTTCCCTCTCTGTTCCAGGCTCCAGAGGCAGAGAAGCTGCTGGGAATCACCTCCTCCCCGATGGGGAGCCACGCTCTAATTAAGAAGAAACCTCCACAAGCCCCTTACAAAGTCTGAGTGGCAGCTGATTATTGTAGCAAAGTGCAACCTCTGCCATTTTGTCAAGCAAGCCCATCAAATTAAGGCGAAATAAGATGTCCATCTGTTTCCTGAATGGCAGCGCCGCCAAAAAATCAGATTCCCACCAGTTCCTTAAGTCCCAATTATTCCCAGATTATCTTTGGAGATCGGGAGATCGGCGCTGAATAAACCTCGTGGCCTCGTTACTGACAGCCCGGTGCATCTCTAAGGAGGGCAGGGGGGCTCGGTGTCAATCCCCGGGGTGACCCCGGGGCTGGCATGGCCCGGGAGGAATGACAGCGGATAAACATCCCCCGCAGGATGTTAAAGAATAACCAGGCAGCAGCAGCAGCAGCAGCAGGAGGGCTGAGGAGTGCCAGAAAACCGGGAATCCATCCTGGTTTTTGGGGATGTCAAATCAAAGGTGACTGGAATCATTCCAGGAGGAGGAAGGGAAAAGTCATCCCAGAGCTGCCATTCCCACGGGGGACAAAGCTCAGGAAGGCCCTTCAGGTGACACAAAAATTGTATTTTTAAAGACATTTCCAGCGTTTTCCTGGAGTTTTGTTTCCTTCCCTGTTCCTGCTGGCCAAAAACCTGCTGGGAAAGGATTTCCTTGGAGAGAAAACTCTCGTCCTGCTTTTCCCACTCATCCCCAGATGGATTTTCTCACATCTCCCCCCTCATTTTCCCAATGAGGCCACTTTTTTCTCTCCCCTCTCTTTCAGGACTTTTGAAAAACAAAATTCCCTTTACAGAATCATAGAGTTTGGGACTGAAATCCCAGGTTTGGTGTTGGAAGGCTCCTTAAAGGTCATCTCATTCCAAACCCCTGATTTACCTGCAGACTTTTGCTGTGCAAATTTTTACCTCTCAGCTCCCTAAAAATCCCTTTAGTTTAAAAAGAGGAATGAGACTGGGAATATAAAGTAAGAATTCCAACTTGTTCTCTTCCCTCTGCTTCACCCACTGAGTTTAATCCTGATTTTTCCACATCTAAGTAGAGAGGTTTTCTCTTGGAAGCCAGCACTGCCCAGAAAGGCAAATTTGTGTCCCACAGGATAAAATTCCATCGTCATCTTCCCACTGTGGGGCCACGAAAGGAGAGAAGAGGTTTTGGGAGACATCCCCATTCCCACATCCTGTAAACAGGGCAAGAAAAACTCACAATTCTCCCCTTTCCGCTTCCCAGACAGCCCAGAACGTGGAAAAACTTTTTGATGCCTTTTTTCCTTCCTTTTTTCCCCTTATTCCAAGGCTTTGATTGCAAATCCTTTTGTCTCCCAGCTGCAGGGAACTCCCCCTCTTGCAGGTGGTGCTTGGCAGGCGAGGAGGAACTTCAGAGATTGCAGACTGTGCCTGGAGAGAGGCCGGGATGAGCTGGGCTGGGGTGGGAGGGAGGAACTTTATTACACGGATCTAACAAGCAAAGCTTCCCAGAACGTTGCTGGGAGCATCCAGGCTCCAAATCTGCATGAATTTCCACTTCAAACGCTGCACAGAAGCATCTTTATCACTCAAACCGCCCGCCCAGCTCCCCCCAGTGAAGGATTCTCCCATCCCTCTCCAAAAGCTCTGCTGAAGTTAAAAAAAACAAAACCCCAAGTGACACCAAACCGAGGCAAACAAAAGACCCAGAGCTTGGTCCTAGTGGTTTCTGTCTGGAAATGTCCTAGCTCAGGTTGGTGAGGGTCGAGAGCAAAGCACTGGAGATCTTAAAGTGGAAATGAGGAGCTCTGACCGCAGCAGATTCCCATATTTCATCCAACTGCATTCCCCAAACCCGGCCCTTCCTGTGAGCCACATCCTGCGGTTTTCCAATGAAAACCCGACAGCTTTTTTTGTCCCCAAACAAATCCCCTTCACCTGCTGCTGCCCACGAGTGCGGGTTGGGATCCAGGATAGGCGGGACAAACCTCCCAGGGATTTTGGTGGCCAGGGAATGAAGTTTCCAGAGGCTGTGGGTGAGCTCTGACCACTGGGGAAGGTGCCCAGCATCCAGAAATTGAGGCAGAATGAGGGGAAAACCCTGAGGGGTGCGTTGGGTTCGGGAGCTGCCAACAGGAATGCAAATCCTGCCGGGAAAATCAGCTGGAGAGAGGCAGGGAGGCTGAAGGAATGCATCAATATTCCAGGGAAAGGTTCCCTGGCTGCACCCTGGGGCAAGGCAGAGCTGTGGGATTGGCCCACATTCCCCACGGGGAAAAGTCCGGGGGTCCCTTTCTCCTCTCCAAAGAGCCCGAAAAAAGGGGGAAAAGCCAACAGCTCTTCCTGCGTGACCCAGATTGTGTTTGAATGTTCCTGGGGAGGGCAAAAATAAACAACAATCTGCTGGATTGGAGTGGGGACACCTCGCAGGTCAACCCCGGCATTAAATTGTGGGATGGCACCATTTCCATACAAATGCTGCGAGGGGAGAGTTGGGAAAGAGGGGAAAAAAAAAAAGAGGGGGAAAAAAAAATAATAAAAGCCCTCCACAAGCCCCAGCCACAAAACTGCAACTCCCGATTTCATTGTGCGCCGGTGACAAGAGCAAACCCAAAATCAAAGAGTTTCATGGTCATTTTTCTATCAGCAAGTGATGCCGGGTGAATAACTTATTTACATGCCAATGTGGAGGCCTGAAATGGCCCGGGATGGGAAAAACGCAGCCTCTGTTATCAACAATGATAGCGGCAGCTCCTGGGAGCCACCCCGGGAGGAGGGCCCTAACGAGGCCGGGCTGCAGCCGCAGAATGGCAATGGGTTTTTAATTGGTGACACATTATATTTATCAAGCTGACAGCAGAGGGGCAGAGCAGCAACCTCCTCGTTGTGTGTTTGCCTTCCCCGACTTCCTTTGAACCCATTCACGTGTGAAAAGAATTTAAAGGTTATGGGAGGAGGGGGGGGAAGGAGGAGGAGGAGGAAGAGGAGGGGGAGGACGGGAGGGAAGGAAGCCTTGTAATAATCCAGCATCATCCTGAATGATAACACTGAATTATTCAGGAGGCTCCTTAAAAGGGGGGTTAAATCAAGGCTGAAACAAAAGAGGAGCGAGGCCATTGTGAGGCCTGGCTCTTCCCACTGCGGAATCCGGGCAGGAGAAGGGAAGCAGGGCCGGGAAAAGTCCTTCCAGAGTCACCCAGAGGAGCAGAATGGACTCGGTGGCGTGGCAGGGCAGAGCTATCCAGAAGGGTTTGATATCTGTGAGCAGAGCTTTTGTCAGCTCAGGGAGAGAGAGAGCCTGGGCAGCAAAGGGAGGAACCTTCCCAGCCTGGGAAAGGTCACTGGGAGACTGGGATGGGATCCATGGGATGGGATGGGATCCATGGGGATGGGATCCATGGGGATGGGATCCATGGGGATGGGATCCATGGGATGGGATGGGATCCAGGGGATGGGATCCATGGGGATGGGATCCATGGGGTGGGATCCAGGGGGTGGGATCCATGGGATGGGATCCATGGGATGGGATGGGATGGGATCCATGGGATGGGATCCATGGGATGGGACCCATGGGGTGGGATCCATGGGTTGGGATGGGATCCATGGGGTGGGATCCATGGGATAGGATCCATGGGATAGGATCCATGGGATGGGATCCATGGGATGGGATCCATGGGATGGGATCAATGGGATGGGATCCATGGGATNATGGGGTCCATGGAATGGGATCCATGGGATGGGACCCATGGGGTGGGATCCATGGGTTGGGATGGGATCCATGGGATGGGATGGGATCCATGGGGTGGGATCCAGGGGGTGGGATCCATGGGGTGGGATGGGATCCATGGGGTGGGATCCATGGGTTGGGATGGGATCCATGGGATGGGATGGGATCCATGGGATGGGATCCATGGGATGGGATCCATGGGATGGGATGGGACTTGTGTCTTTTCCTTCCCCACTTCCTCTTGCTGCAGCCTTCACATCTTTGGCCCCAGAGGAGGTTTGGATGGGGAATTAGGAATAAATCCTTCCCTGGGAGGGTGGGGAGGCCCTGGACAGGTTATTCCATGGATTCCCCATCCCTGGAAGTGTCCAAGGCCAGCTTGGAGCAGCTGGGGATGGTGGAGTGTCCCTGCCCATGGCCGGGGTGGAACGAGCTGATTTCCAAGTCCCTTGCCACGATTCCCAAGCCATCCCATGATTCCGTGATCTCCCTCAGGACCAGGAGCCACCATCCCAAGTGCTGGAATGCAAGATCCATGCCAGGGCTGGAGTTTCCCTGGATTTTCTCCAGGGAGGACCCTGCTGCTGCCTCAGGGGACACAGGATGGTGACAGGCATGGTGACAGTGGTGCTTCCCAAACCTCCCTTCCCGGGTGAGGGATAAAGCCGGGATTTGTTTTATCCTCACCCAGCTGTGCTTAAGCTCATCCAGGCTGCAGAGGAGGAGCTTTTCCTCAGAGGGAATCAATCCCAGAATCTCCTGAGCTGGAAGAGACCACAAAGATCACTGAGTTAAACTCCCAGGACACCCCAAAAATCCCACCTGAGAGCCTTTTCCAAGCACCACCAGCCCCTCTGCCTGCAGCGTGACAGCCTTGGGCTGCCTAAACAAACAGCTTTAGGACAACATTTTACCTGGGAGAGTTTCTTTTTCCCTTCCCTTTGTAATTCCACCCAGGACAGCAGCACCTCCAAACCCATCCCTTCCCCTCCTAAACCTCTCCTTTAACCATTTGTTAAAGACTTTTCCCCTCCACATTGCCTTTTTTTTTATTTTAAAATATCTTTTTTTTAAGCCTAGAGCAGCTAACAAAACCAAAGCAAGGCGGGGAGCGTGAGAAGAGCCTGATGAAATATTGAAGATTTGAAGATGATATCTTTATTTTATTTATTTTCCGTTGGGTTTGTTGGCGGATTTTGCGCGGGATGAGCCCGGAGGAGGTCACCCAGCGCTCTGGGGTGGCTCCATATTGCAGGGAGCTGTGCTGGCTTCGGAGCCAGCTGGGCCACCAGCCCCAGGCCTTTGTGGCCCGGCTTTGTGGCCCCGCCGAGCGCGCACAAAGTCGATGGTGGGGCGGCTTTGTTCCCTCCCCGCGGAAAAACAACAACAAAAATAACCCCCAAAAAAAGCGCCGGGCATTGACAAGGTGATGAATTCCTTCACTGCTGCGCCTCATAATGGACTCGAGCGCTGCTGCCCTGGCTCGGAGCGGGGAAAAAACAAAAAAACCAACAAAACCGAGCTCGTCTCCCACTGCTTCGCTCCTTGGAACCTGATTTTTTCCCACTAACTGCTCCCTGATTTATGGAGCCTCTCCTGCGCCGGGCGGCCGTGGCTCCGGGCGTTTGGCATTCGCTGACATTTCGCTGCAGCAACTGTGAAAGGGCAAATTTTCCTGGAAACAGAGCTGCAGAGGGAAAGCAGCCGGAGCTGCCTGCCCTCCCCTCGCCCCGAGCCGGGCAGGGACCTGGAGCATCTCTGAGAGAGGCTGGAGCTCCCCAGGCTCCCTTTTCCATCCAGGATATCCCAAATCCTGCCCTCCCTGCCCCTCCCTGGAGTTTCCGTGCTCAGGGAAGGACTCACCAAGCACGGGTTATTTTCTCTTTTTTTTTTCCCCAGAATATCTTGATGGATGGGGATTTTTGGGATGAGTTTCCCTCCCCTCCTCCTCTCCAGCAGGGTGTCCTGCTGCCTTGACCCCTTTATCCTGTCCCGCTGTTCACCTTGGGAAGGGAAGCAAACAAAGCCTGGCAGGGATGAACCTTCCTGCCCGAGCTCTAAATCAGCCCCGGGGCAGCTCCAGGCCAAAGGCAGCCAGGAGCCCCCGATCCCAGATGGAAAATCCAGGCTTTTCCTGCATCTGGAACCCCTCTGGAGCATCTTTTGACTGCAGGCATTTCTTGGGAGAGCAGGTGAGCAGGGATTGTCCTCGATCAGGGACAGCAAGGCTCAGGAACTCCTCATTCCAAAGAAATTCCCAGAAAATCCTGAGCTCTCCCAGGGGGAACAAACCCACGTTTGGCTCCAGTTCACGCTCTGTTGTGTAAATCCCCAATTCCTGCAGCCCTGGGACTGTGAGAAACTCAAGTTCTGCTTAAAAAGTGCTGAAGATACGGCCCTGGTGGCTGAAAAATGTAATTTGAGGAAACCCCAGAGGCTGAAAAAGCTGGGAGGGCAACCAAGCCCCCCTTTCCCTCCCTCTCAGTGTCACGATTTCAATTTCATTTCCCAGCCCTGCACATTTAGGGCTGAGTTGTGATTTTCCCCATGGCTGGGGACACCTGGGACAATTTTTTTTCCAGGTCCCTGAGGGCCAGGACAGAGAATGGAGAATTCCTGCAGAACAGAGGGAATTTTCCCAATTTTTTTTTTTTTTGGCTCCATGCTTTTTGAGATGAACCCAGCCTGGGATTTCCCCACGAGTGTTTGTGACAGGGCACAACATCCAGAGCTCCTTTCTGCTCCTCCTGCTCACAGTTTGAGGCACAGAATTCAGTAATAAAGTAATAAAGAATAATAAAGAATTCAATAATAAGTAATAAATAATAATAAATAATTCCTCATTAACCTAATAAGTAATAAAACACAAGATTTGGGAAGATAAAAAAGGTTTAAAGGCAGGAGAAAATAAAATTTAAAAAAAACCCAAGGAAGGAACCCCCAAAGCACAAACAAACCCCACGAACACATTGGCACCAAAAAAAGGCTCCAGAGCAGCTGCAGGATTTCTCTGTCCCCTTCCCAAATCGTCCCCGTCGGGTTCACTGAGTCCTCTCCCTGCTCTGGAGCTGTTTGGGAGATCTGGAAGTTCTTTCTAAATGTGGATTTCTCATCATTCACCGCCCTTTTGACAAGGAGCTAAAACGGTGTCGGCTGCTGCGGTAATTCCTGATTTATTGGGAATTTGGAGAAGCATTCCGAGCTGGGAACAGACAGCTCTGTGTCACACTGTGCCTCAAAAGGAGGAGATAATAAATGCATGAGGAGCCTATTTATAAAAATGGCATCAGCCAGGCGGGAAAATCACTGGGGAATATTCAGCAACCCCAAAAAGGAGAACAAAAGCTGTTCCCAAACCTCTGCCCACAGGTGGGGATGGGTCTGGGGAGCAGGGGAGCATCCCATTCCAGCAGGGAAGATCATTAAACCCGGGATAAGGGCTCCGAGGGAGCTGATCCCTGTTACTGCCGCTCCTCCCTGCTCATCCTGACAGCACTCACAGAGAAAATGAACCTGCCCCGAGAATATTCCCAGGGGAAAAAATATCCACAGGCTGCTCCTTGTTCCACAGGGAATCCTGTGACATTCCTGCTTTTGCTGGGCCCAGTCCTGGGATAATTCCTGGGAATTATCTGGGCACGGAGGGGCCACATCAGGGAAGGGTTTGATCAAAGGGATTTTATGGCAGTTGTAGCCCCGAGTCCAAGGGCTGAGCCCAGGCTCTGCTCCCAGAGCAGGGAACAGCTCCAGCTGAAGCCTTTGGGCTGAAATATTCATGGAAAAGCCAAATGAATTTTGCTGGGAGTCCTCTGGAGCTGATGGAACAGGGATGGAGCCAGCCTGGGCTGGGGGGGTGATTGGAAAGGGGTAAAATATCCAAAGGAATACCCCAAAATTCAGGGGGAGGCAGCTCTGAAGAGGAAATCCCTCGTGCCAAAGCCCAGCACCAACCCTGAGCTCCAGTGAGTCTCCAGAGGGAATTCCACCCGGGAAATGAGGGATAAAACCAGCCCCTCACTCATAAAACCCCTGCCAGAAATGGATCTGGGGCTGATCCAGCTGATCTGTGAATTGCTGGGAGAGAGGAAGGCTTTGATAGATTTTTTTTTTTTAATCTAATTTCCTTCTGGCTATTTTTCCAGGAGAGCTTTCCAGGGAAGCTGGCATGCAAGGCTTGGTAATAAGAATAAATGAGAGCACTTTGGTGAGCTCCTTCAGAGCTGCTGGCTCCTTCCCTCTCCCTGATTCGGGGAAGATTGAGTTTTCAGGGCGAGCCTGCTGCTGCTGAGCCTCATTTCAGCAGAGCTTTTTCCAGTGTGGAATGGTTTTAATCCAGGTTTCGGCTCCTGGAGTCAAGTGATGTCAGCAGAAAAATCAGCTTGGAGTTGGAATTTATAAAAAAAATAAAAATAAAAGCTTTAGAGGTCATGAAAAATAACCTGGCGTCCAAAGAAGATCTGCTGTGATTCCAGAGGGGGATTTGGTGCCCTCAGTTTTCCAGAGGGAAAGTCCCCAGTGGAAAGAAAACCTGGATTTTCCTACTTAATTGATGCTTAAGTGCATTGATTTAGCTGTTATTAAATGATCTTTAAGGTCCCTTCCTGCCCAGACCACTGCAGGATTCCATGATTCTCAGCCTGCCATGTAGGAAAACCATTTGGCTCTGGCTATACGGAGCCTCTGTCCATCCTTTCCCAAAACAGGGATGGATCCCGTGTCAGAGCTTTCATCCCTGGGCATTTTCCTGGTGATCTGTATCAGAAAATCATGGAATGGTTTGGGTTGGAAGGGATTTCAAGGTCATCCAATGCCAGCCCTGCCATGGCAGGGCCACCTCCCGCTGTCCCAGGTGCTCCCAGCCCCAGTGTCCAGCCTGGCCCTGGGCACTGCCAGGGATCCAGGGACAGCCCCAGCTGCTCTGGGAATTCCAGCCCAGCCCCTCCCCACCCTCACAGGGAAGAATTCCTGCCCAACATCCCATCTACAACTCCTTTCTTTCAGTGGGAAGCCATTCCCTCTTCTCCTGTCCCTTGCAAATCTTCCCTCTCCGTTTTCCCTGCAGCTCCTTCAGGTCCTGGAAGGCCACAACGAGGTCACCTTGGAGCCTCCTCTTCTCCAGGCTGAGCATTCCCAATCCCTTCAGCCTGAAATTCCCACACTGATCTTTATAATCCATTTTTAAATTTTTTTAGGAAGTGGGAAATCCCGGTGCAGCCTCAGGGGAGGCTGAGCTGCAGAGCTGAGAGGCCTGGATGAGGTGACAGCCCCAGGGTCAGCTTTGCCATCCCATCCCATCCCACTGATCCCATCCCATCCCATGGATCCCATCCCATCCCATGGATCCAATCCCATCCCATCCCATCCCATGGATCCGATCCCATCCCATCCCATCCCATG